CACCCAACTGACCAGGTGACCCCATGACCACCAGGTGGGCCTGGAAGGGGGTCCTGGGACTTGGGGACATCAAGAATGGCATTGGAAGGGTCATCAAGGTCACTGAGGTCAATGAGGGTCATTGGTGTTGGCGGGGAAGGGGCTCTGACCACCCTGGTGGCATTGGAAGGGTCATCGGGGTCAATGGGGTCAATGGGGTCAATGGTGTTGGCGGGGAAGGGTCTCAGACCACCCTGATGTCACTGGAAGGGTCATCAGGGTCAATGAGGTCATTGGGGGTCACTGAGGTCATCAAGGTCATTGGTGTTGGCGGGGAAGGGGCTCAGACCACCCTGGTGGCACTGGAAGGGTCATCGGGGTCATTGAGGTCATTGGGGGTCATTGAGGTCATTGGGGGTCATCGGTGTTGGCAGGGAAGGGGCTCAGACCACCCTGGTGGCATTGGAAGGGTCATCGGGGTCAATGGGGTCAACGGTGTTGGCGTCAAGGTCAACGGTGTTGGTGGGGAAGGGGACGGACCACCCAACTGACCAGGTGACCCCATAACCACCAGGTGGGCCTGGAAGGGGGTCCTGGGACTTGGGGACATCAAGAATGGCATTGGAAGGGTCATCGGGGTCAATGGGGTCAATGGTGTTGGCGGGGAAGGGTCTCGGACCACCCTGGTGGCACTGGAAGGGTCATCGGGGTCAATGAGGTCAATGGGGTCAATGGTGTTGGCGGGGAAGGGGCTCTGACCACCCTGGTGGCATTGGAAGGGTCATTGGGGTCATTGAGGTCATTGGGGGTCATTGAGGTCATTGGGGGTCAATGATGTTGGCGGGGAAGGGGCTCTGACCACCCTGGTGGCATTGGAAGGGTCATCGGGGTCAATGAGGTCATTGGGGTCAATGGTGTTGGCGGGGAAGGGGCTCTGACCACTCTGGTGGCATTGGAAGGGTCATCGAGGTCATTGGGGTCATTGAGGTCATTGGGGTCAATGGTGTTGGCGGGGAAGGGGCTCTGACCACCCTGGTGGCATTGGAAGGGTCATCGGGGTCATTGAGGTCACCAAGGTCATTGGTGTTGGCATGGAAGGGGTTCTGACCACTCTGGTGGCATTGGAAGGGTCATTGGGGTCACTGAGGTCATCAAGGTCAATGGTGTTGGCGAGGAAGGGGCTCAGACCACCCTGGTGGCGTTGGAAGGGTCATTGGGGTCATTGAGGTCATTGGGGGTCATTGAGGTCATCAAGGTCATTGGTGTTGGTGGGGAAGGGGCTCTGACCACCCTGGTGGCATTGGAAGGGTCATCGGGGTCATTGAGGTCATTGGGGGTCATTGAGGTCATTGGGGGTCAACGGTGTTGGCGGGGAAGGGTCTCAGACCACTCTGATGTCATTGGAAGGGTCATCGGGGTCAATGGGGTCAATGGGGTCAATGGTGTTGGCGGGAAAGGGGCTCAGACCACCCTGGTGGCACTGGAAGGGTCATCGGGGTCATTGAGGTCAACGGGGTCAACGGTGTTGGCATCAAGGTCAACGGTGTTGGTGGGGAAGGGGACGGACCACCCAACTGACCAGGTGACCCCATGACCACCAGGTGGGCCTGGAAGGGGGTCCTGGGACTTGGGGACATCAAGAATGGCATTGGAAGGGTCATCNGGGTCATCGGGGTCAATGAGGTCAACAGGATCAATGGTGTTGGCGGGGAAGGGGCTCAGACCACCCTGGTGGCACTGGAAGGGTCATCGGGGTCATTGAGGTCATCAAGGTCAATGGTGTTGGCATGGAAGGGGCTCTGACCACTCTGGTGGCATTGGAAGGGTCATCGGGGTCAATGAGGTCAATGGGGTCAATGGTGTTGGCGGGGAAGGGTCTCAGACCACCCTGGTGGCGTTGGGAGGGTCATCGGGGTCATCGGGGTCAATGGGGTCAACGGTGTTGGCGTCAAGGTCAACGGTGTTGGTGGGGAAGGGGACGGACCACCCAACTGACCAGGTGGCCCCATGACCACCAGGTGGGCCTGGAAGGGGGTCCTGGGACTTGGGGACATCAAGAATGGCATTGGAAGGGTCATCGGGGTCATCGGGGTCAATGGGGTCAATGGGGTCATTGGTGTTGGCGGGGAAGGGCCTCTGACCACTCTGATGTCACTGGAAGGGTCATCGGGGTCATTGAGGTCATTGGGGGTCAATGGTGTTGGCGGGGAAGGGGCTCAGACCACCCTGGTGGCACTGGAAGGGTCATCGGGGTCATCGGGGTCAATGGGGTCAACGGTGTTGGCGTCAAGGTCAACGGTGTTGGTGGGGAAGGGGACGGACCACCCAGGTGACCAGGTGACCCCATGACCACCAGGTGGGCCTGGAAGGGGGTCCTGGGACTTGGGGACACCAGAAATGTCACTAGAAGGGTCATCGAGGTCAATGAGGTCATTGGGGGTCATTGGTGTTGGCGGGGAAGGGGGCTGGGACCACCCAACTGACCAGGTGACCCCATGACCACGTCCCCACCAGGTGGGCCTGGAAGGGGGTCCTGGGACTTGGGGACATCAAGAATGGCATTGGAAGGGTCATCAAGGTCAATGAGGTCAATGGGGGTCATTGGTGTTGGCGGGGAAGGGGCTCTGACCACTCTGGTGGCATTGGAAGGGTCATCGGGGTCAATGAGGTCATTGGGGGTCATTGAGGTCATCAAGGTCAATGGTGTTGGCGGGGAAGGGTCCCAGACCACCCTGGTGGCATTGGAAGGGTCATCAAGGTCACTGAGGTCAATGGGGGTCAATGGTGTTGGCGGGGAAGGGGCTCGGACCACCCTGGTGGCACTGGAAGGGTCATCGGGGTCATTGAGGTCATCAAGGTCAATGGTGTTGGTGGGGAAGGGGCTCAGACCACTCTGATGTCACTGGAAGGGTCATCGGGGTCATTGAGGTCAACGGGGTCAATGGTGTTGGCGGGGAAGGGGCTCAGACCACTCTGGTGGCATTGGAAGGGTCATCGCGGTCAATGAGGTCATCAGGGTCATTGAGGTCATTGGGGGTCAATGGTGTTGGCGGGGAAGGGGCTCGGACCACCCTGGTGGCACTGGAAGGGTCGTCGGGGTCAATGAGGTCAATGGGGTCAATGGTGTTGGCGGGGAAGGGTCTCAGACCACCCTGATGGCACTGGAAGGGTCATCGGGGTCATCGGGGTCAATGGGGGTCACTGGGGGTCATCGGTGTTGGGGGGGACCACCCTGGTGACCAGGTGACCCCATGACCACGTCCCCACACCAGGTGGGCCTGGAAGGGGGTCCTGGGACTTGGGGACACCAAAAATGTCCCCCCAGGTGTCTCACCTGTGCCCAGGTGTGTCACCTGTCTCAAATGTCCCCCCAGGTGTCTCACCTGTCCCCAATGTCCCCCCAGGTGTCTCACCTGTCCCCAACGTCCCCAATAGTGTCTCACCTGTCTCCAACGTCCCCCCAGGAGTCTCACCTGTCCCCAGTGCCCCCAATGGTGTCACACCTGTCCCCAATGTCCCCCCAGGTGTCTCACCTGTCCTCAATGTCCCCCCAGGTGTCTCACCTGTCCCCAGTGTCCCCAATAGTGTCTCACCTGTCCTCAATGTCCCCCCAGGTGTCACACCTGTCCAGGTGTCTCACCTGGTGTTTGTAGCAGCCCCCAACGCCCCCCCAGGTGTCCCACCTGTCCCCAGGTGTGCCCAGGTGCCTCACCTGGTGCTCGTAGCAGCCCCCAACGCCCCCCCAGGTGTCCCAGGTGTGCCCAGGTGCCTCACCTGGTGTTTGCAGCAGTCCCCAATTCCCCCAATGCCCCCCCAGGTGTCTCAGGTGTGCCCAGGTGTGCCCAGGTGCCTCACCTGGTGTTTGCAGCAGTCCCCAATGCCCCCAATGCCCCCCCAGGTGTCTCAGGTGTGCCCAGGTGTGCCCAGGTGCCTCACCTGTCTCCAATGTCCCCAGTGGTGTCTCACCTGTCCCCAGGTGTCTCACCTGTCCCCAACGCCCCCAATGCCCCCCCAGGTGTGCCAGGTGTGCCCAGGTGCCTCACCTGGTGTTTGTAGCAGTCCCCAATGCCCCCAATGCCCCCCCAGGTGTCTCAGGTGTGCCCAGGTGTGCCCAGGTGCCTCACCTGGTGTTTGCAGCAGTCCCCAACGCCCCCAGTGCCCTCCCACCTGTCCCCAGGTGCCTCACCTGTCCCCGGTAGTATCTCACCTGTCCCCAATGGTGTCCCACCTGTCCCCAGGTGTCCCACCTGTCCCCAATGTCCCCCCAGGTGTCTCACCTGTCCCCAGGTGTCTCACCTGTCCTCAATGTCCCCCCAGGTGTCTCACCTGTCCTCAATGTCCCCCCAGGTGTCTCACCTGTCCCCAGGTGTCTCACCTGTCCAGGTAGCTCACCTGGTGTTTGCAGCAGTCCCCAATGCCCCCCCAGGTGTCTCAGGTGTGCCCAGGTGTCTCACCTGGTGTTCATAGCAGTCCCCAACGCCCCCAATGCCCCTCCCAGGTGTCCCAGGTGTGCCCAGGTGTGCCCAGGTGCCTCACCTGGTGTTTGTAGCAGTCCCCAACGCCCCCAGTGCCCTCCCAGGTGTCTCACCTGTCCTCATTGTCCCCAATGGTGTCTCACCTGTCCCCAGGTGTCTCACCTGTCCAGGTGTCTCACCTGGTGTTCGTAGCAGTCCCCAATGTCCCCCCAGGTGTCCCACCTGTCCCCAGGTGTGCCCAGGTGCCTCACCTGGTGTTTGCAGCAGTCCCCAATGTCCCCAATGCCCTCCCAGGTGTCCCACCTGTCCCCAGGTGTCCCACCTGTCCCCAATGTCCCCCCCAGGTGTCCCACCTGTCCCCAACGTCCCCAATGGTGTCCCACCTGTCCCCAATGGTGTCCCACCTGTCCAGGTGTCTCACTTGGTGTTTGTAGCAGTCCCCAATGTCCCCAGTGGTGTCCCACCTGTCCCCAGGTGTCTCACCTGTCCCCAACGCCCCCAATGCCCCTCCCAGGTGTCCCAGGTGTGCCCAGGTGTGCCCAGGTGCCTCACCTGGTGTTCATAGCAGTCCCCAATGTCCCCCCAGGTGTCTCAGGTGTGCCCAGGTGTGCCCAGGTGCCTCACCTGGTGTTCGTAGCAGTCCCCAATGCCCCCAATGCCCTCCCAGGTGTCCCAGGTGTGCCCAGGTGCCTCACCTGTCCCCGGTAGTATCTCACCTGTCCCCAATGCCCCCAGTGGTGTCCCACCTGTCCCCAGGTGTGCCCAGGTGCCTCACCTGGTGTTTGCAGCAGTCCCCAATGCCCCCAATGCCCTCCCAGGTGTCTCACCTGTCCCCAATGTCCCCAGTGGTGTCCCACCTGTCCCCAGGTGTCCCACCTGTCCCCA